AAATTGTTTGCTTTAGGCCACTCTCAAGCTTTATCAAATGACAGAGCTCTCTCTGCCTTCTGTAATTCCTGCTTGTGTGTGTGGACATCCTGCTTCCTTTTCTGAAAATCAAAGCAAAAGGATGCTGATAAATAAAGCCAAAACACAGCATGGGGGGTGGGGGTGCCATTTCCCAAAGCCTTCTCAAACCTGATACCCTTCAGACATGTTGGATTGCAGCTTCCGTGATTTCAAGGACCATGCTGCCGAGTTCCTCATCAATCCTATTCTTTTACAGGCCTCTTTTAAATCAGTTTCCCAAGCCTAGCTTGTTTTTAAGACTATTACTTTCAGCCACCACTGGAAATATATTTTGGGTCTTGAGTTGAATTTTCCTGAGCATGCAAACAGTATCTGCATATCATAACTGAATATTCACTTATGGCTGTGAACACCGCCACTACTATCCATCTGTCTCTGCTCTGTTTGATTTTTTAAACCAAAAAAACTCCCACAAAAACTGGGAGGATGGTATGCTATGAAGTGAAGTGCTGACATCTACCACTGCTCCATTTTTATGTTCAAGAATAAAAATGGTGGGTGTCTAGAGCCCAAGACTTGGGATTGAAGTGTGCCCAGCTGGGCAGAAATGGCAGGGTTGCTGGTGAGAGAGGCACAGCCAGGAGTGAGCAGAGAGATTTGTGTGTGCCAGGGGTTCCCCTTTTTAAAAATGTGCTTGTGCGCCAGCTGGTTTGTCTTGTTCGATTTGGTGTGATGTGTTTTGCCATTGTCTGAAGTCGTGTGCTGGCGAGCCTGTTTTTTGTTTTTGTTGTGTATGATGGAGGTGAGTTTTCTGCTGGTATGTGTGGGCTTCTCCGAACATCACCAGTGTGCCTTCAACAGAATTGGTATTTTGTTGTGCGTTGTGGGGGTGAAGTGTGTGATTTGACATTTGGGGCTCACAGCCCACTTCTGTCTTATGCTCAGTTTCTTGGCCAAGTTACTCTTCTCTGCGAAATAGGTGCTGGAGCTTGAAAATGTGGGTTCAGAAGCTGGTTTGGAACCCAGGACCTGTTGAGGTCTTGTGCCTAGGTTCTTAGCTAAATTTTCTCCTAGTCTAGCCACTGCTGGGAAATAAGTGTTTTGTAACTGATCATGTTTGCCTTACAGCCATTTCATGGCAGCCACATGACCTGAAGTGTTGACAGGTTTGTGTTCTTTTAATAGACTAGAATCAGAGAGTCAGAATAGGAGAATCGGAAGGGCCAGAGTGTCATCAGGTCCAACCCCTGCTCAGTGCAGGACTCCAAGTTAAAACATCCCTCTCAGATGGCTGTCCAGTTGCATCTTGGATGCCTCCACAATCCGCAACCTTCCTAGCATGGTTGTGCTACTCTAACAGGAAATTTTCCTTCTGTCTAGCCAGAATCTGGCTTCCTGCGACTTCACTCTGAGATGACCAGGAAGAGATCCTCTCCTTCCTCTTTGTGGCAGCCTTTGAAGGACTTGTAGAGGGCTATCCTATCTCCTCTAAGTCTTCTATCTCCTCAAGGCTAAACATGCCTAATTCTTTCACTCTCACAGGGCTTTGTTTCGGTCCTTGGATCATCCTTGTTGCCCTCTTCTGTACCCCTTCCATTTTGTCTGCATCTCTCTTAAAATGTGGTGCCCAGAATTGGACACAGTACTCCAGATGAGGCCTAACCAGTGCTGAATAAAGGGGAACTGCGACTTCAAGAGTTTTGGAAGTGATCCTTCTAGTAATACAGCCTAAAAAAAGCATTTGCCCTTTTTGCAGCCACATCACCTTGTTGACTCATTTTCAGCTTGTGATCTGCAACTATTCCAAGATCCTTCCCACCTGCAGTATCGTTGGGCCATGTATTCTCCATCATATAATGATGCATTTGGGAAGGTGCTATTAAGGGGTACTCTTTGAGTCTGATTCCATAGCAACTGTGAATCCACCTGATGGTTGTTCCATTTAGCTCACTTTTAGCTAGTTTGCTAATCAGGATATCATGGGACACTTTGTCTAAAGCTGTGCGAAAGTACTGACCGTGAACTGCTTGGACTAACCCAGCTGCTTGCTTTACAGGGTGGAGTATAAATATTTGAAATAATTCTGCAAGGGTGGAGGTGAGCCATGTCCTTAGCCTGAAGGCAGAATGGTCTCTGTGATAAGAAACACAGAAGCAGAGAGAGTCAGAAGGGGTCACCTGAGCCACCCAGTCTGACCTCCGGCACCAGCTGGCTCCGCTCACGACATGCCCACCATGTGCACGTCCAGCCTGTCCTTGAACACCAGCACCGATGGGGCCTCGGCCACCTCCTGGGGAAGCCCATTCCACACCATCGGGGTCCTGACTGTCAGGAAGTGCTTCCTGGCATCCAAACGAAACCTTGGCTCCCTGAGCTTTGCTCCGTTGGAGCACGTCCTGCCTTCCTGTGCAGGGGAGAACAGGTCTCTCCCCACCTCTGTGTGACACCCCCTCACATATCTGTATGCCGCCAACATATCCCCTCTGAGTCTCCTCTTCTCCTGGCTGAAGAGACCCAGTTCCCTCAGGCTCGCCTCATACGGCATCCCCTGCAAACCGGCCACCAACCTTGTGGCCCTTCGCTGCACTGACTCCAACCTGGCTATATCCTTTCTGTAATGAGGGGCCCAAAACTGAGCACAAGGCTCCAGCTGTGGGCGCACCAGAGTCGTATAGAGTGGATTCTGGAAAGTCATGCAGCACAATTGATGCTCGCAATGTGGCATGACCAGCAGTCTTTGAGATTTCCCAACTATTTTGGCCACTTGTGCCTACTGAGGGCAAGGCAAGGAGTAGGCATATGCTGCTGTCAGGTGTAGGCTTAGAACACCTGCTGAGGTGGCTGGGGATTGTAGGAGCTGAAGCCGAACACATTTACAGTTCAGGGTGTTCCTCAACCCTTCTCTGCTACTAGAAGTGCACTTTTCCTCTGGCACAGGATTCCTTTCTCCACTGGAGTGTGGGATTTTCTGAGATCCCTCAATTATTCATATACTGGTTAGGTTCCCATATTCATATGTGGGACTGCCCTCACAGACTGTCCAGAAGCATCCGCATGGGGCTGCTGGGTTATGACCTGGGACCAGGAGTTGTCATCATACGGTTATTATGCCTGCAGTGCACCAAGCTCAGTGGTTCCTGGAATGTTTCCAGATGAAGTTCAAACGGCTGTGGGTTTAACCTTAAAATACCCCCACAGAGCTTCCTGTGGCTTTGGCCCACTTGTGCATTAAGGTCTTCAATGGAGAGCCTTCTGCAGTCAGTGCTGTCTTCTGATCCAAGAGCAGGTGGCCTTTCTTTTTGGAGGTAGCACCTTGGTTGTGGAATGCTGCTTCTGCTGCTTGCCTTACCTCTGTTCCAGGTGAAGACTTTGTATTTTTCAGGGTATTTTGGATGCAGTGTTAACATTCCTGAGTGTTTTATCCCGTTCCCTTGATGTTGTGGTTTATTATAGTTCTGAGTTTATATTTTATTTGATTTATTCTTGTTTGTAAACTGTTCTGGGAATATGGTTGAAGAAACGTCTAAAATATTTACAGTAAATACCTAATATATAATGAGTCTTACCCAGCTTATCCCCACAGTTTACCCTGAGTCCTCTGATCCTGCTCACTTACTAATGCTTCTTTTAATTGAATGTATGTACCATCAGAGCCAAAGATCAAGGCCTGTTGCATGAGCTTAACACTCCTGTGTTAAAAGCTGCAAAATGCTTTTTTGCACGCTTTAGATCACTGCTGTATCGGATCATTCTGCCTGTAAACTATCTCGCATGGTGAGTAACTCTGCTGATAATGTTACTCATAAACGGGGTGGGTTGTCTACTTGTGGCAAAGGTTAGAAATAGCTTTGTTAGTAATCAGCACCTAACCACAGCGTGGGACTATGAAGTCTGTGCTGGCAATCTTGGCATTAGGCTAACGTAAGGCAAGGTGGTTGAGTGCCTTGCTTGCTTTATGAGATTGTCCTCAAATCTGTGTGGTCAGCAGATGTATTCATACCTTCTGTGGGTGGAGAAGGACGATGGACTGTAGTCAGCTTGAACTGTAACATTGAGTGGAGTCAAAGGTATCCAGCAGCTCTGTAGCTGGACTGTTTTGCTTCCTGGAAGTTAATCATCTTGATGACAGGCAGGGCTCAGTTGCTGGGAGATGTGTGAGCATCTCTCTCTGGCTGGTCCACGTTACTCTCTATTAGTGATCACTTTTCGAACGACTGTCAGGTTTGTGTGCACGTTAGGTTTTGCTATTTGAAAAACTCCAGAAGCAGAAAATCTGTCCTCTTTGCAGGGTGAATCCATTCCCTGCACAAAATGTGATTGGAGCTTTCTCATCCATAGTCTTGGGCCACGCTTTGCAATTATGGAGGAAGGCTCACCATTCAGAATTGACAAACTCCAGGGTGCTTTTAGCAAGTCAGAAAGTGGGAATTTAGAGATGTAATGCATGCACCTAAATTGGAAGCAGCAGCTGCCAGAGAAGAAAATGGGGAGCACAGGTAGGCTCACAGAAGCCAAACTGATTCGTACATATTAATGCCCGGAATTCATATTACTTCTAAGTGCTTGGTGATAGGTGGTGTTCCATTTTACAGGTAAGGCACCAGTGCTGGGGACACACGGTTTTTGCAGGGATCTGAATCAGGTCCAAAAGCTAACAGCAGACTCTCCCACTGTTAGTTGTGCTAATGGCTGAAAGCTGCTGCTTTAACACGCACCAGTGTAAGGTGAAGTATGTTTGGACTGGATGTGGCAAGTCCTGTGCCTTTCTGAGTAAGTGTCTCGGTGTGATCCTCTAAACTTAGTCGTGAAGTGATAAACCTTGAAAATTCCTTGCAGGGGATGGGTTGTCTTGCCCAAATCCTAATCAATTTTGTGTCGGCATGTCAGTAGAGTAAAGTTGAGTGGCTTGCCTTTAAAAAACGAACAGCGTGACCACCTCTCAGCTTCTCTTTCCTCCTGGTTCTCTCCCCCCTGCCCAGGCCTTTGCTCAGTTTGATGTGGAGGGAGATGGCACGGTCGATGTGGAGAACATGCTGGAGGTTCTCAAGAACTCTGGGGGAGCCAATCTCCGAGGAGAGCTCAGTCACGTGATCCGGCAGCTGCAGGCTTGTTCACTCGTCCCAGGTAAGCAAAAGGGAATGGAGGGGAGAGAATTGCCACCTGTGATGCTGAGAGACTGCTGTGGCAGATGAGGAATACAATTTGATGCAGCACATCAGGGATTCCCTGAAAGGGCTGGTGCTTCACATGCAGAGTGACGTAGTCCTTTCTTAGCATGACCTTGGGTGGCTAGGCTGGTGGACACCTTGCCCAAGACCCTGGATAGTTCATTCCAGCCTTAATGGACAGTTTCACTGAGGCATGGAGAGAAGCCTTGTCGAAAGCTTCCCATTCAGCACTCCCTATCAAGGACAGTGAAAAAAGCAAGGTGGGCGAGTGCACGCTTGTGCACACGGAGGTCCGTGTTTGTGGAAACGAGGACGATCTTATAGGATCTTGCAGTCAAGGGGGTTTATGTCCCCCCCCCAAAACTTTTTGAAACTAAATATCACTCACGCTTCTGATTTTTCTTGACAGCTCACCTTTGGACAGCTGTTAGGAGAAAACAGAGGAAGATGGATTTGGAGCTCTTTTGGGCAAAGTCCAGAATTGGTACCTGCTGCCCTCTGGCAGCAAGCACTGCCCAGGCCATTGTCTCAGCTCAGCAGCTGCCTCAGATCACTGAACAATTTCCTCAAATCTCTCCAGAAGCACAGCAGTCAAAGTTCACGGTTGGGCAGTTTACAGCTGAAAGGGGAAAAGAAGTTTTAAAGTTTGGCAGCCGTAGGCAGGCCCTGCAGCTGGCGCAGTGTTTGCAGCTGTCCAGACAGAGCTTTGGGAAAGCCCATGACAACGGACTTTTGCGATCTCCCCCACCCAGAGAAGGGATGGAGGCACTGCTTGTCCAAGAGTATGTTCCCCAGGTTCTTCTAATGAATTTGCAATCACTGCACTGTTTTCCATTTGAGATGGGAGTCACAGCTCAGCACCTCAAGAGTCCAAGGGAAGGGAGAGAAGGTTGGGGTTGCCAGCCCCCAACCTCACGCCCCCCTCTGCCACAGGCTGATGCCAGTCCGAACTATCTGAAGGACTCCAACATGCACAAGGCTGGAAGAAGGCAGAATAGAAATTCACTTTCTCCAGGAACATTTAAATGCAACTTAATCAACTCTCCTTCTCTGTCTCCAGGTTTTATAGACATATTTTCAGAATCGAACGAGCGCCTTAGTCTTCATGCTTCCATGATTCTGAGATTCCTCCATCGGCACCGCATTGCCAGCACCGTCATCCCATATCCCGTCTTGGAGTATTTCAACAATATTTGCACTATGCGTTCTTCTGTTCTCAAGGATTCTTTAGACCGACTCCTCCTAAAAGAAAAGGGTACTCGAATTTATTTGTCTTTTGCTTGTTTGTGTAGCTCATGCTCCACATTCCTGCTCACAGCCTGGCAAGTCTGCTTTCCGAAATCAGAGTCCGCTTTCCGAATCCCAGTCTGCTGGGATTTTTTCCTTTGAAATTTCTCCTTTGAAATTATGGGACAGTCCTTTGCAGTTAGGCCATCGCTGTGACTTTGTTTGTCTTCCACTGATCTTGGCCATTTGTTCTTGGTCTTAATGAATAATTATGACTCTGTAGTTGAGATCTGTCAATAATAAGGCCAGCGAATTTGGCCTCTCGTACAGCAATTGTTTCCAGTTGGATTGGAGAATGTGTATTTGTATCAAGCAAAAACTGTTGGATATAAATTTCTGTTATTTTGGCAAAAGGGTTTATGCACAAGTATATCTTGGCTTATAACCTAAGGCCAATGTGCAGCCTGCAAAGTACTTGGCAATATAAAATATGCCCAAATACAGTCAAGCTTTTCTTATTACCACATTGCGTATTTATTTTTTTTCTCCTGGCTGTGCAGCAGCAGTACAATAGAAAGGCTTTCTCATATTTTTCTGTATCGCAGTTTCTGTAGGAAAATGAGAAACCATTTCATTTCCTTTGTACTTCATTTGCATTCAGGAAGTTCTGGCGAATTTCATTCTTCTAGATTCACGGCAGATACTAAGGTCACTTTCACTGAATGTACAGCCAGATTCCTTCCCACTGCTGTTAGGAGAAGGTCACCGATACTGAAGTTGCCATTGTTTGCCATTCTAGATAGAATAAAGGCCCCCACAGCTCCTGCCACGCTCCAGCCAGCTGTGCTCCCAGCTGTACCCCAGACAGCTGGAGCATGCTGGGAGCTGTAGGGCATTCTCCTGCCTAAATTGGCTTAGGGTGGCACCTTGGGATCAAATTGTTCTGGATCTGATTTGCTTAAATCTAATAATGCACCATGAACAAAATCTGTGCACATATGTTTGGGGGTTTTTGCTAACTTAATTATTATCCATAAAAAGCAAATAATTCGGTCACCAAAAAAGCACAAATATAAGTAAACTTCCGGGAATAAAACTGACAATAAAATCCTCGTCAAACTCGCCGGCAATCCAAAATACACAGTTTATAGCAACTGCAATAAAACCATGTTTGAGGTGCCACTACCAAAAACACCCTTGGTTGATGTCCAGAAAGCTCTCTTTTTCTCGAAAACAGGTGGCCACTTCGTTGGTTTTTTTCCTCCTGAATATAGTGTGAGGGGGTGGCAGTGCCCTAATTAAAAAGCACCCTTGACTTGGTACACAATGTAAAGTAGTGGCCAGAGTGCAAATGGACTTGCTACCATTTGTGCTTGTAGCAAATTAAGAAGTACAAAGCCCAGCGACCCTAGTTTGGAAAGAAATGAACGGTGGGACTGCCTGCGCTTGTGGCGAGCTCCTCCCTGAGAAGCTGAAGGAGACCCCACACCCTGGATGTCTCTGCTCACAAGATGGGTGGAGGATTTCTAGAGGCTACTTCTGTACACCTGCAATTTTGGGCAGTGCTGTGCTGAAAGGCATTATCATCAGTTATATTTCTGTACCATACAGTGGCCAAAGCTCTCGGGGCGGTTCACAGTAAGGAAGGCTGAAAGCTTATTTGAGGTTAAAGGACAGGTTAAGAATGGATGTAGTGGAAACAGACCCATGTCCAATTTCGCAGACCATGAAATAGGGAGCCCTGGAGTGATTTCCTGGGCTTTTGGAGGCGAATGCAAAGCATGCCAGAGCTGCCTGGGAGACACTAAATAGCCATCAGCCTTTATTTCATTTCTCTCCTTTCCGAGGAGTTTGGGGAATGGCATGGCAGTAGTTTAGGACCCCCACCCCCCCCTGGAATGAGGCATTCTCAGTGACCGGTCACCAGAACTCTCTTCACCCACCCTTCCTCCCAGCTCTGAAACACGCTGCCTCTGCAACACCTGTCTCCCGCCGCCTGCTGTGAGTCTGCATAAGTGATCTCTCCTTCCACGAAGAGCATCCCTCAGGTGCTCCTCTGCAGACAGAGTGCCCAAAACGAGGCCACGTCCTGCCTCGTGGATCATGCCCCCCCCACAGCACCTTGAGGTGTGTTGAAATGTGCGTGCAACTTGACCATTAACTTTGGACCTGGCAGTTTTCCTCCTCCGGTGCGAAGGCAAGGGGAGGAAGAAGGAGGCTGGTGTCCTCATGCTCACTCTCTCTCTGCCCTTCCCATCCTTTTGCAGAGTGCCCTAGTGACTTAAACGGAAACCAGGAGTTAGACATACTCAAATCCGTTTCGAAGTGCTACACCCACATAGAAACCTCCTCCAATTCGGCTGACGTTCACAGAATGACGAATGGGGAGACGTCCTCCTTCTGGCAGTCTGACGGGAGTGCGCGATCACACTGGATCCGGTAAGCAAGATGCCTCTTCCTCGGATCGTGAGCCACCCGTGCGTTCTAGAGGTCTTGCTCTCCTTGCTAGACCCTGATGGATTCTCACAGAACTCTCCAGTGGAGCATATTTTTGATACTGGCCCAGGGTGGCGCTCATCTAACCTCACAGCTTGCTGGGTGGCCATATGCTGAGAATAATGCTGGAATGGGGTTGATGCATGTTTGCCACCGAGTGAGGGCTGCTGGAGGGAAAAGGCAATTCCACGATGGCATCCTCAGGAAATAAATTGGCAATATAACCATATCATAATTCCTGTATGACACATCTATAGCGCAAGAACACAGCTGCCATGGACTGCTCTGATTGGTGCACCCCAAAAAGAGAGCCAGTGTGGTGTAGTGGTTAAGAGCGTGGGACCGGGACTTGGGTGATCCAGGTTCGAGTCCCTGCTCAGCCATGGAGCCAACTGGGTGACTTTGGGCCAGTCACAGACTCTCAGCCCAACCTACCTCACAGGGTTGTTGTTGTGGGGATAAGATGGAGGAGGAGAATGTTGTAAGCTGCCTTGAGCTCTTTGTAGGAAAAAGGCAGGATATAAATCGAATGAATGAATGAATGAATACATAAATAAAATATTTTAGAGCTATCGAAGATGCAGAAAAGGGCAACCAGAACGCTCAAGGGACTGGAGCAACTCTCTTGTGAGGAAGGGGTACAGCCCTGGGGGCTTTTTAGGTTTGATGAAGAGGCAAGGAAGGAGAAATGGGTACATAAAACTACACAAGGTGTGGAGAAAGTATGAGGGAGGAGCCAAAAGAAACCAGAATCTTTCTCTGGGAAAGAAAACAGCTATCACATCACGAGAGGTGCATAACAAAATGGCTATTTTCAGCCATCACAAGATTGATGAACAAGCAAGAGGTGCTTAACAAAAAGATTTACTGCGTGGCACCGTGAGTTCAGTTGGTGACGCTGGTCGACGGACTGATGTAAAAGGGTCCTCGCAAGAGGCATCCAGTGGCAGAAGCATGTGCAACGATGGGCTCACCCACCAGAGAAAGATTCCGGGGTTTTTTGGGTACCCCCCTCATAGATAGGGAGATGCTCTTCCCTTCTTTTACAATACAAGAACCCAGAGCAGGCATCCCCTGGAGCTGAGTGGGAGAGTCCAAACAGGCAATGCAAGCATGGCCGTCTCGTGCCTTCGGGCCACTCTGCAGGATTTTGATGGCTCTCCACTCGGATGGCTGTGCATTCCCAGGGGACAAGGCTGCTGATCGTCACTCGTCGCAACGGCTCTGCGTGACCTCCAGCACCAGTCCCGATAGGCCTCTCGGTACCAGTTCCTGGGGTCATCCGCAGGAGGGAGCAGTTGCGTTCATGTCTGCCTTGCAGGCTTCCTGCTGGGGCCTCTGGCTGGCCGGTGTGGGAACAGCTCTCTGGACTTTTGGTCTGATCCAGGAGGACTTTTCTCCTTCTCGAAAACCATCCTGATCTAGAAGATTTCCCAAGCCGCCCACAGTGCCGGTGTAGCCCTTCCTCTTTCTCTTTGCCCCACAGTTTGAAGATGAAACCAGACGTCATTCTGAGGCACCTCTCCATCGCTGTCGCAGCCAACGACCAAAGCTACATGCCGCAGCAGGTCACCGTGGCCGTCGGAAGGACTGCCAGCTGTCTTCAGGAGGTCCGCGATGTTCACATTCCCAGCAATGTTACTGGATACGTGACATTGTTGGAAAACGCTAACATTAGTCAGATGTGTGAGTCAATAACAACACAATTGGTGTTTCTTGTTCTTTTTGCTTAAAACCAATCAATTTTGACTGAATGGCCGGTGAGGGGAGACCGCCTCCAGAGGAGCATCTTTAGAGTGCGGAGGGTCTTGGCTTGCCTAGAATCAAGTTCTCGGGCCACAGTCAGCAAATGTCAGCCTATCTTGCTGGTTGCAACCATTCCTGGTGTTGACTGTTCTCCCTTCCACGAATTCTGAGGCACCGGCAGAGAACTTGGGGAAAGGGGAGTGCCATTTATGCCCATGCCAGGCTCTTGCAGTCGCCTCAAAGATCCCAGTGGGAAGGGAAAGGAAGCGCCATTTCCCTCTGGTTGGGATTTTGCAGGAGGTGGAAACAGTGGAACATTTACTTTAAAAGCCCAGCTTATAGAATGATAGCCAGTTCCTTGCTTCTCTGCTTTCTGTGAAGAAAAGAAGAGCTGGTTTTGTTTGGCCAAGTTCAGCATTACCCAAAAGTGCCCACCATGTCCTTTTGGCGCCTTCCTGCAAAATAAGCTGCACGTGTTTCTTTCCTTAATGGAGGACATTAAGGAAGTTGGCAGTTGGCTTTGGACCCATCCTGTTAGCTCTGTGTGAGAAGCAGTGACAAGGCGCAGCTCGTGCCTTCGGAGGAAGGCTTGCCACATGGCCAAGCCATATTTCCTGCCCATTTTTTGGGAAGGAAAACAGAGAGGGGCTTTTCCTAGTGAATTAGCTGTTTGAAGAAAGGAAGTGGCAGCATCTTCTGGTTGTCTCCAGCAAAAACCAACCAAAAAGAGAGAAGAGATGACTCCCCATTTGTTCAAGGGAGATAGAAGTTGGCCAAGTTTCTCCCCATTCTGCGGGATTTTGCAGCAAGTGGCATGCTGCCGGTGCTTTTTGTGAAAGCCCCTCTGTGCGCGAATGAGAGACACACCCCCCCCCCCCCCCACAAGGAGAACTTCGGGGAGAAACACGAGTGCTTACCAGGGTAGCTGAACTGCACGTGTGTTTCCTGCAAGAAATGGTGCTTCCCCATTGGAAGGCCACATTGATGTTCTCCTAATCTTTTGGGAAATAAACACTCTGCAGAAATTGCTAGAAAGGTAAACAATCAGATAGCAAGCATGGGTGGTTGAGTGTCAGCTGGTTTATAAGTGAGGGAGCTCCTCCCCACCCCCACCCCCCAAAAATAAGATACTGGCTTGTAGATATTTGGTGCCTGCCCTTATGTATAGACATATACCTGTTTCTAAAATTCGAGGGAGGGAGGGAGGGAGGGAAAAAGGCATTCCAAAATGACCTGGCAAGGACCGGTGAGCTTTGAGGGTGTATGAAAGATTGGGGTGTCGGCCTGGCAGTGGGTGGGGAAGAAAATGAAGTGGGCAGGGTGGGAGTCGCCTTTCTCAAGCGCCTCAGAGTTTACAGTAAGTATCCAGGGGCAGGGACGCACCCAGATTGCAGGCAGAAGCCAACTTCTCTGCTGGCTGGGAGTGATGGGAGTTGTAGTCCAGGACAGCTCAAGGGTGCCAGGTTGGGGGTAGCTGGGTTAATCTATGCATGGTTGCAGCTTCCATTCCAGGGCCCCTTCCGGGACCTGGTCTCCCTGCGCCTCCGCGTTAAATGATGGGTCGTGTGGTTGTGGTGAATATTCCTGGCTTTGGTGATGAATCCCGTCTGCACTTCTCCTGGAGCAGCAGGGGCTACTGTGCTCTCCTGACGTCTTCCTTGGGGGCACTAGGGAGCCATTTCTTGCCCTCCCTCTCCTGACTCGAACCCAGGTTCCGTGCTGCCTGCATCCATCATGCTAGGCATGGGAAAGAACCGCCTCAGCCAGCATCCTGTTTGGGGTGTGTGAGGGCCCCTAAAGTTACCAAAGTGGCTTGGTAAAACGAAAAGGGGAACCTCTGATTTTCCTGTTTCGGATGGGCTGCACTTCCCATTGCCCCTCACTGCTGCTCATGGCTGATGGGAGTTAACCTCCAACAGCATCTGGAGGGCCCAGGCTGCCTTACCCATGTTGCACTTAGTCAAGTTCATGCAGCTTCTCAGCCTTCCCCAGAAGGTGGTCTGCTCAGCCTCTGCCTCCCAGGAAGACCAGAGTCTACCAGGAAGCGGGCCCCTCTACCCCGAGAGTGCCAGTGACAGCCAGCAGTTAACTGGCGCCATGGCTCTCACAGTTCACGGTTAGCTGAGGCCAAGCCTGTTCCACGGCCTGTCACTGCTCCTGAGTTTTCTGATGATCAGCCACTTCCCTTTCAGCTGTAGAACCCCCCCTTCGGCCCACGGCCGGAAGAAATTACCTTTGTTTGGCGCCCCTTGACAGATGTGCAGATCAACATCAAGCGCTGCCTCAGCGATGGATGCGACACCAGGATCCACGGGCTGCGGGCCGTCGGCTACCAACGAGTGAAGAAGGGCAGCATCTCCGTCTGTGATGCATCGGCAATCTGGTACTGGTCCCTCCTGACCTCCCTGGTCACAGCGTCCATGGAGACCAACCCAGCGATCGTCCACGCTATCCTGCAGAACACGCAGTGAGTGCTGACGCTGCTCCCCCCCCACCCCACGGCACGAGCAGACTTGGTCCCCCCTCGCTTTTCTTCCTTGAGCTTGGTCCGGTGTACCCGTGGGCCAGCTTCCCCTGGTCTCCTGCTCTCCCAGTGGTTTGGATTGCAGCTCCTGGCCTTTCTTGCCATTGGCCTTGTTGGCAGGTGCTGACGAGGGCTGAAGTCCAAAGCACCTGGAGGGCAGCAGGAGAGGGGAGGTGGCTAGATCTTGCAAGATGTATTTGCTTTGAGTGGGTAATTGGGGGGGTGTGGGGGGGTGGCTCTTCTCGAGGCACCACCCCTCTTCCTTCTGTTCTCATAGAAACACAGAAACTGAGCCAGTCAGAAGTGGCTTCCCGGGCCATCTAGTCTGACACCTCCCCCCCCCCCCCCCCCCGCTCTAGCCAGTTCCACTTATGACATTTTCTCACCTTGGGAGAAAAAGCACCCAAGCCCATTAGGTGGCAAAACTCACTTTGTCTTGACTTCGAGTTCGGTGGTTGGGGCTGACCTGCAAGATCTGGGGTCTAGCCCACTTGGTTATGAATCTCCCCAAGTTACTTTAGGCCAGTCATGGAGACTCAGCCTAGCAGGGTGGTTGTTGTGCGGATAAAAATGGAGTGGAGGAGCACGAGGTGAGCTGCCTCAGGTTCCTCACAGGATGGAAAAAGGCAGGCTGTGATTGCGGTGCAATAGATACTATTCATTCTGAGTCCGTGCTTGTAAACGGTTTGGTTTGTCTGTTTTCCACTGCTTTGGTAATGGAAAGGCCATTGAGAAATTGTATCTTTACTTTTTAAAAAGAAAAATCTTTTAGGCTTTGGAGCAAAGAAAATTTAAGAGGATGTGATGAAATTCTTGGTGGAGCTCACATCTTTTCTCTTTGCCTCCTCGGAGGGGTGGTGGAGAAGCTAATGGCAGCTTGCTTCTGTGGGGACATGAACTGCCTGGGACTGGGTGTCTTCGTTTTTGTTGCATTGGCACTTCAGGATCAGCTGAATTTCCAGTGCATTCATTTATGGTATTCATGTCCTACCTCTGTGCCACAATATATCATGCAAGTCAGCTTACAGAGAAGATTAAATCGGTTAAAGAGTAAAGTAATACTTTAAAATGCAGGTAAAACAGCCATAACAGAATTTTAGGACGAGCGCCCAACCCACCATCCGCAGCTGCTTCTTGCACCTCTTCCTGGAGAGAACAGCTGCTATTAACTGTGATGAACCCAAAGTTACTGTACTTTTGTGTCGATTGTAATTGAACGTCCTTTTGGGCTTTAACCATGCACCACAGAAAATACCAAAAAGCCTTTCTTGGTCATCCCATTTCCTCCTCTGGTTGTGGGGTAGGTGAGTGAGGGGGTCTTAAGAATTGTCAGTAGTGAGGCCTTCCTGAGCTGGAGTTGTTATCAGGCCGATAGATGTATTTTTGCATATTGAAACTGAGCATTCCCTCTCCATCTCAACAAGGCCAGCCCGGGCAAGCATCAGTGCAAACCATCCAGAGGTGTTACCTCCACTGGCTGGCATTCTCCGCTTCATGCTTCTAGTGTTATGGGCAAACCCACAAAATAATTTGTGATTTCAGCTACACTTTCTTGTTGTGATTGCCTGAGGTTGCTTCTGACAAAGTGCTCTCTTTCCTCTTCCTTGTGCTCCAGGAAGGCCCTACAGCATATGCCACCGCTGTCTCTGTCACCAGGTTCCATCGATGTCTCTAGCTTCTTGTCTCCAAACGTGTTGGAAGAAGTGGACAGCTTTCTCCTGGGAATCACCAGGTACCATCATGATGCAGCCAGTGTGTCATGTCCCCTCAGAGCCTTTTGGGGTTTTTATGCGGGAGGCTTCGAGGGATCTGATGCAGCAAGAGTCCCAGTTCCTTCTGCACCTGTGAGCGCATTTGGGAAGTTGAGAACTTGCTGTGCGCGCGGCCACAGAATGGTTCCTGTGGTGGATGTGGCCAGTCGTGGAATGGCTGCCAAAGGGGCCGGGCTAGTCACAGGTGCGCTGAAGAACTGGTGTACGGGGAGAGAGAAATGGGTGGAGGCTGTTGGGGAGATAGGGCAAGGTCACGTGGGGAGAAGAACAAAGCAGAGATTTAAAAAGAGGAGAGAGAAGATGGAGTTCATATTTTCCAAGGTTTTTCTTCAAACAAATATTTTTAAGGTGGCAAAGAAGGGAGGGCTTTGTGAGTGCCCTTGAAAGCCCTTGTAGGAACCAAGTTCAATGTGGTGATGTAGTTAAGAGTGCAGGCGTTCAGGCGATCCGGGTTCGAGTCCCGCCTCAGCCATGGGGCCAACTGGGTGACTTTGGGCCAGGCACAGACTCTCAGCCCAGCCTCCTTCACAGGGATGTTGCTGTGTGGATAAGATGGAGAGTAGCAGGAAGAGAATGATGTAAGCCTCTTTGAGTACATTGTAAGATAAAAGTGAGATAGAAATCTAATAAATAAGTTGTGAACCCCTGTGGTAGAAGTCCAGGTAATTCTGAGTTGTGTGAAAAGAGTGAATATGGATTTTATTTTCGTCTCTTTGCATTGCAGTGAATTTGGGCTTCCTTCACATGTGGCCTTCCACTGAGGACTAAAGTTGTTGGGAAAGGATAATTCAGGGATTTCTTTTTAAGGAAGTGTAACCCCTCTCTCCTTTTCTCAGCTGTTGTGCTACGCCAGAGGTAGAGCTCACATTACTGGCATTCTCCCTGGCCAGAGGCAGCATCGCAAAAGTGCTGAGTTCGCTTTGTACCATTGCCGGCCATCTGGAAACTCCCTATAAGGCCGCTTCCCTAATTGCCTCCATGGCCACAGTCCGGCAAAATTTACTCTACAAATATGGTAAGCTTATTTTTTTCTATATAATGGCATTTCTGTTTATTGCAACCCGGTAGCTTTCTGAATGCATTACACTGAATAAAATCATAAAGTACAATATGATCAAACATATCATATTTGAATCATTCAGCTGATTCATCAGCTGCGCCCCTACCTGGAGTACGACTGCCTGGCGACAGTGACACACGCACTGGTGACTTCCCGCCTTGACTTCTGTAATGCGCTCTACATGGGGCTGCCCTTGAAGACAGTCCAGATACTTCAATTGGTTCAAAATAGAGCTGCCAGGCTGCTGATGGGGACTGGGCATTATGTTCACATGACGCCAGTCCTCCGTCAGCTTCACTGGCTTCCCATTGAAGTCTGGGCCCAATTCAAGGTATTGGTGATGACCTATAAAGCCCTAAATGGCTTGGGTCCTGGTTACCTAAAGGAGCGCTTACATCCATATATGCCTGCCCGCCCCTTGAGATCTGCGGGAGAGGCCCTTCTCCGGGAACCCTCCATGAAAGAAATTAGGAGGGTAGGTACTCGGAGGAGGGCTTTCTCTGCGGTGGCGGCCAATCTATGGAATGCGCTCCCCAGAGAGGTCCGCCTGGCACCGTCGTTATTTGTTTTTCGGCGCCAGGCGAAGACCTTTTTATTTAAGCGTCATTTTAATTGTTAATATTATCTGCTTATTTTATCTGGCCAGGGCGACTTATTTTATATTGTTATATTGTTATTTTTTGTATTTTAATTGTATATTGTGAGCCGCCCCAAGGCTTCGGCGAATGAGGTGGCATAGAAATGTTTTAATAAAATAAAATAAATAAATAAAACAGCGTATGACAGTTTGAAATGGCAGTATAAATGTCATTATGAGGCAGACAAATGCCTCTCTGTCTCTCTCTCTCTCATTGAAAGCATGTTCAGTCCCAGGAGATGGTAGCCTTTGCTTGCCCACCTTTGGGATGCCACTGGTGGGAATCCTCATGTCCAGGAGTTGGCAACCTTTAACACTCAAAGAGCCATTTGGACCCGTTTCCCACACAAAAGAAAACACCGGGAGCCGCAAAATCCTTTTGACATCTAAAATGAAGATAACCCTGCATATATCGTTTTTTACCTTAATGCTATGTATATCTTCATTATTATTATTATTATTATTATTATTATTATTATTATTATTATAACATTTCTATGCCGCCCCTTGCCGAAACCTCGGGGCGGCTTACAACACAATAAAATACATTGAAATACAATAGAACATAATAAATTACCATTACATACAAAAATACAAAAAATACACTGAGTTACAAATATAAAATTAAAATTATCAGTATAAAATAAGTAAATAAAAATATAGGAGGAGAAAAGAGAAGGAAGAAGAAGTTGCCCTGGCCAGATCATATGTTTTAACAATTAAAATGATGTTTAAATAAAAAAGTCTTTACCTGGCGCCGAAAAACCAGTAACGACGGTGCCAGGCAGACCTCTTTGGGGAGTGAATTCCATAGGTTGGGCGCCACCGCAGAGAAAGCCCTCCTCCGAGTACTTACTCTCCTAATTTCTGTCATGGAGGGTTCCCGGAGAAGGGACTCTCCCGCAGATCTCAAAGGGCGGTCGGGCATATATGGACGTAAGCGCTCGTTCAGGTAGCCAGGACCCAAGCCGTTTAGGGCTTTATAGGTCATAATCAACACCTTGAATTGGGCCCGGGCTTCAATGGGAAGCCAGTGAAGCTGACGGAGGACTGGAGTCATGTGAGCATAATGCCCTGTCCCTGTCAGCAACCTGGCAGCTCTGTTTTGCACCAATTGAAGTGTTCGGACTGTCTTCAGGGGAAGCCCCACGTAAAGCGCGTTACAGAAGTCTAGGCGGGAAGTCACCAGCGCGTGTGTCACCATCGCCAGGCAGTCGTACTCCAGGTAGGGGCGCAGCTGATTAATCAGCCGAAGCTGAAAGAAGGCATTCCTCACCACCGCTGTCACCTGAGCTTCCAAAGAAAGCTCCGGGTCGAGGAGTACTCCTAAGCTGCGAACCTTATCCCTAAGAGGGAGTGTTGCACCATTCAGGACCAGGTCAAATCCATCCTCTCCGAAACCCGGTCTGCCAACCAACAGGACCTCCGTCTTGTCTGGGTTGAGTTTCAGTTTATTGGCCCTCATCCATTCCATTACCTCGGCCAAGCACCGGTTCAGCACAGCCACTGCCTCACCTGGATTAGTGGAAAACGAGAGGTAGAGCTGGGTATCATCAGCGTATTGATGATTCCGCAGCCCACACCTCCTGATGACCTCTCCCAGCGGTTTCATATAGATGTTAAATAGCAGAGGGGATAGAATGGAGCCCTGTGGTACTCCATGGCATAACTGCCGTGACGTAGAGACATGGTCCCCCAGCACTACCTTCTGGAATCGACTGTTGAGATAGGAGCGGAACCACTGCAAAGCAGTGCCTCCAACCCCCAATCCCGCAAGCCTATCCAGAAGGATACCATGGTCGATGGTACCGAAAGCCGCCGAGAGGTCCAGAAGAACCAACAGGGATGCACTCCCCCTGTCCTTCTCCCTGCACAGGTTATCGTACAGGGCGACCAAGGCAGATTCAGTACTGTACCCAGGTCTGAAAATTATGATTTAGCCGCAGCTCTTGTTCAGTCACTAAAAACTGTTATTTTTAATCTTACATTATGAACTAGTAGGACTCCTTTCATATATTTTGAATACGAGAACAGCTTCCTGAAGAGTCAAAGTCAGTGCTAAAGGGCTGCATGCATTAAACAGCAAACCCCATAAGTTTGTCAGCCGTAAAAGCAAATGAATCTACCCACGTATCATTAAACGTGTGGTTTTCTTCAGAAGCTTTTCTTTTCTTTGATTTATCCATGGCTGGTCTACGGAGGGGGGGTTGGGGAGCTCAGGCAGGTCCGCAGATTGGCGGCTGTGCCGAAGACATAGGTGTGTTTAGTGACTGATTAGTAGATAAACAGTCAAGTGCTGTGAATTGTGACAGGTCCCAAGCACAGCTTTTAACATTCGGATAAAGGGGATTACATTGGGACAAAGGGAATCTTTTCAGCAGCGTTTTGTGTAACATGAGAGCCTGCAGGAAGCTTGTTTAGCAGAGTAATGTAGCGATTTTCTTAACTAGCTGATTTACTTAACTAGCTAGCGCTGCCTTCCTGAGTGGAGCTTCCTTCGAGCAGATCGGCGGCTGTGCCGGCACGTGTTTTGAGTGACGGAGCCGCAGCAGGGGGGCTCAAGAGCCACGTGCGGCTCTGGAGCCGTGGGTTGCCGACCCCTGCTCATGTCTCTCACTGACAGTGCTGTACACCTTCTCCTCCAGGGGCGCCACTGCGTCTGACTCTGCAGGCCTGCGATGTCAAGGGGAAGGAAGACAAATCGGGACCTGAAAATCTCCTTTTGGAGCCATGGACAGGGGATGGTAAGGGCTTACCTGGATTCGGATTATATTTTATCAGACACCTTTTCACCCTGCCTTTCTGCCCCGGATGGAGGTCTGGGTCATGAGCAGGCCTTGACTGTGTTTGGAGGCTTCCTTCTGCAAACAGGAAGGAGAAAGCGCAGCATCGTTACCTTACAAGAAAACAATCATTTGAAACATTAGACTCTGCAAACAGGGGACCACTGTTAATATTGAACAGAAGAGCAAAGCATGGGGCAGGAAGGACTAAGTGAGATATTTAGCCCACTGGAGGTGACACACATGCATCTCGGTAGCAGAGAAGGATTTAATACAGCTGAACTTGGGCCAGACACACCGCAAAGCCGTCCCTGATGAATCAAGACTGAAGATAGCTTTATCCACTGAAAGCCTTGCATGCTGCCCACACTGGGCCTCCAAGGGTTCTCCCCTTCTTCTTACGGACTGGGAAACCCCCTGGCACTCTTGGAATGTTGTCTGGATCCAGAGTGCGATGACTGCCCATATTGTAACTTGGTGCCCTCCAGTTGTGTTGGACAGCATTTCCCATAGTTCTCAGCAACCATGCTGGCTAGGAATTATGGGAGCTACAGTCCCACACACCTGCACAGTCCCATAGTGGGGAAGTGTGACCTACTGAATGGGTCGGACCAGACATCCTCAGGGCCTTTGGTGCCAGGAGATTGTGAACCGTGAAATTCAGAGGTGCTCTGAATGGAGACCTTGATAAGCATGTTGAATTACTCCCAAAGGTCGACCCAGACAGCTTTGAGCAGCATGCCCACGTCTACCCTAGCAAAGGAAATCGTCGGTCAGCAGGTGGGACTAGGTGCCGGTCTCTTTTTAGCCAAATGCGCACAGCAAGTCGTTCGTTCCCCATAGTGCGGCCCAGTGCAAGGCCGTGTCTCCGCCCGACTGAAAATGCTCCTTCCGGGAATTCTGGGCAAACATCTATTTTTGTTCACAGGCTTCCTGACAGAGACTGGGAAGAGGCAAGCCAGCATCATCCTCTCGACAGGGACAGAATTGGCCCTGCAAGTCACACAAATCAGAGTAAAGGTCTGGACTCACTTGCTAAACATTCCCGGAACCATGACTTGTTTTGCCCTTCTTTTGAGAGAGCGTTTGCACTGGATGCGTGGTCTGTGTGAGCGAAAGTCTCTGCTCAAGAGTGAGCCATGCATTTCATGAAAGGGGAGAAAGAAGAGGAAAGACATGAACTGTAAAAGGGGTCTGTGCTTTCTTTCAGGGTGGCCAGAATCAGGATGCGCATTCCTCTCAATGGCCTTTGCTGAAAGAAGCATCTTCTTTCCCTAAAGATGCAGCCCTTTTTGTGCTTAGGCAGAGGCAAGACCTACGGCGGGCTCAGCTCGAGCGTGCTGGTCTTTCTCCCACCCTCGCTCCTGCTTTCCCCTCTCCAGCAGCCTTAGACAAACCCCTAGCAACCGAGTCCTTTATTAAAATGTAAAAGGTTTCGAAACAGTATAGGTCAAAGGGAGAATCATCTGCCCACGTGAAGAGTCAAACCCAAACTGAAACTTCCCCTCCTCCCTTCCCTTCTCTTCCCTTTCTGACAGATTCTTATTCCCCGCTCCAGCTTGCTCCTGCTGCTTGACTAGACAGCAGGAATCCCGGAAACGTCTTCATTGGTCCTCCCACTTTGCCCACCGTCTCCTTGGAGGGCCAAGGAACTCCCCTTCCGATTTCTCCCCACCCAGTTCTGAAATGTCACCTTCGTTCCCAAGGCAGAGTGGCTGAAACTTTGTAAGCATGAAGCCACCAGGTCCTCTGCCCACTGCGGCCCCCTTTCTTCTTTCCTCTTCCTCCTCCTCTGGATCTGAAAAGTGCCTCTGGGGAGATGGGCGCTCAAGAGAGGCCCCCCGCCCCCCACATCTCCTCTGCCAGGACATGCGTGGGGCTGCCCCCACCCTAAATGGTTGCAGGTCTGAGTGGGATGTGCTCCTTCCCCCCTCATCTTAAAATTACTGAGATAATATGCATGAGTGGATACTTTGAATGCTCAGGGAAAGTGTTTACATGGAGTAAGTTTATGTTCTTGTACTTTTGCTTGTTGGCGTCTGACATGAACCAGTCCGAGATTGGGTGGGCCACATGTGAGAGCTGAGTCATGGCCAAGGTGGAGCTCCGGCATCTAGAGCATGGGTCCTCAAACTATGGCCCACGGGCCGGATCCGGCCCACCATGCCCATTTATCCGGCCCGCCTCAGAGGTTTTGGGCTCGCTTGGAGAAAACAATCTCTGAGCAAGTCCAAAAGCTCTGAGCCGCTGCAGGTGTACTCAGTGGGGAGATGGCCACAGTTGCGCTCGTGCAGGGAAGATGCTCGTGCTTGTGTGTGCGGGGGGGGGGGGGAGATGGCCGCGATCGCACCTGCCTTCCCTGCATGAGCGTGATCACGTCCATCTCTCCCCCTCTCCCCTCAGCACGATCATGGACATGGTAGCTATGTCCCTTGAATTTGGACATGCTCTTCCCCACCTCCTCTTGAGCTTCTGCTGCAGCCCAAGCAAGTGAAGTGAACATTTTTTAATTATTTTTTAAAAATTTAATCAATTTTAATTAATTTTTAATGTGCAGTGTGCATAGGAATTCATTCATGTTCTTTTGAAACTATAGTCCGGCCCCCCAACAGTCTGAGGGACAGTGAACTGGCCCCCTGTTTAAAAAGTCTGAGTACCCCTGAACCAGAGCCTTGGAACTCCCTTCCCTGCCCCTCTGCTCCTTTCGGGCGGCTGTTGTGATTGAGCTTCTGTAAGCTGCTGGGCGTCTCTGCGCAGTCCTGGTGTCCTCGCGGAGCATCTCCTGACAGTCTGTGCATGGTTAAAGCCTCGTCTCCTCCTAGGTCCGAAGAGGGCCGATTGGAGCGCGATGCGGGTTGGTGTTTGCTTACAACTGCCCCTCAGAGAAGTTTCACGCGGAGGAGCATTTCAAAAGGTTTGAGGCCTACGACAAATGGAAGCTGGAGGATTTTCGGCACTTCTTAAAAATGAGGTAATTGAGCATCGGGAATATGCTGAGCATGCAACTAGGCCTTTCTGGCCTAGTGTTGCGCGCTCTGGTTGGCAGCAGCTTTCTAGCATTTTGGCTGCAGGGAAGCTTCACCCATCAGTTCCCCGTCTTCCTTTTTCACTGTGGTTACTGCTTGGAGTTGAACCAGGACTTTCTGCTTTGGTATTGGACTGTGACCCCCTGGCAATATGGTGGAGCCACTTTCCAGCAGTCTGGAGGGTCAGAACCCAGCTCCAGGGGTAAATTCCAAACGAGACTCAAACGCTTTTGTATTGTCCAAATCATACCAAGAGGAAAAACGGGCTGCAGCTCCTTTGCCCTAGTTTAAGAAAAACAGAAACAAAAAACACCTTTATGGTTTTCTTGCTCAGCCTCAGCCATAACTCTGGTCTACATGCAGGCGAGCTACTCTGAGAAACAATGACCAAACAGCTCTCTGAGCCAGGTGGCCTCCCGAAGCTCAGACTGCCGCTGGCTGCCCCTTGCTCCAACAGGGCAGGACCTCACCTGGCCAGCTTCTCCCCTCATGAGATGTGTTCCAGCTCCCAACTTGAGGAAGCCCTTACCTGCAGCCAGGCCATGCCTGTGAGGGTCAGGTGCTCTGGACTGCAGCCGCCTCGTGTTGAGGCGTGTGGTTCTGCCCCCTCCACTGCTTTGCACTGCTTTGATCTCGTGCACTCCCTTGAGAGAATGCAAAATCACATTAAATAAATAAGCTAGCTTTCCCCAACCTGAGTGGCATTATATGTTGTGGATAACAGATGTCATCATCCTGAGCATTGGCTGGTGGGGGGGGAGCTGGGGCCAATGGGGTTCGTAGTCTGAAACACCTGGAGGGCAGCAAGTTAGGAAAGGGTGGGTGTAGACATGCCTTAGCCCAGGGGTCTCAAACTCGTGGCCCATGGGCCAATTGCCGGGATGGTCAGGGCATGGGGGAGGGGCCCTGCGGCCTTCAAAGCACCGGCAGCGCCCGGGCCGGGTGCAGGATGAGCAGCCCACCACCACCACGGTGGTGGGATACTTGATGCGGCCCAGCCTCACCCAGACTCTACTTCCAGCGGCCCCCAGGTAAGTTGAGTTTGAAACCCCTGCCTTAGCCTGATTTCTGTTAGGTTGCAGATGGCAAGTGCAAGCCTGGTGGATTTTCTCTTCCTTTCTGCAATTTTAGGAGTGGCATTCCACGTGATGACCTGGGAGAGGAGGATCCTGTGGGATGGTTTGAACTGGAGGAGGAATGGGACGAAGTGGAAGTCAAGATGCAGCAGTGTCGCATTTCCAGGGTAAACCCCCCTGCCCCCCCCCCACCGGTAATCCAGGCTGGAAAGGAGTGCAGTGCTACAGCGGGAGCTAAGCAGGGGCGTGCAGATCTTTTGGCTGCAGAAAGGGTGGCTCTCTTGGTATGCTGGCTCGGCTGCCGCTCGGTCCAGGCATTTGGGGGACAGCCTGGGAGCCCACCAACAACTGCAGCACCCGAAAGGCTGGCAGGGGTGTTGGTTTGACCTGGTGTGGCCAAAGAGCGCCAGTCACCGCCCTGCCTTCCTGCTAGCCTTGGAACTGGGCTAGAGTGGGCATCAGGCAGCTGCCAGGAGGCAGGCTGGACTGGCACCCCACGTTTTCCCAGGCACACAAGGCAGAGGCCGTGTTTACTGGCGCATCGGATCCTCTGTGTGCATCGCAGGCATAGGTGTGCTCTTTGAAAATTGCAGAGGTGCCCCAGACTGGGATGTGGCAGGTGGGTGCCTCATACACGGAGCAGCTTGGATGTGGTGGTGAGAACACTGAAGCTGGGGGACCCGGGTTCTAGTCCCCCACTTGGCCACAAAGCTCCCCAGGTGACTCTGGGCCAGTCACAGGATCTCCACCTCAGCTACCTCACAGGGTTGTTGTTGCAAGGACCAAAATGGAGCTGTGGAAGCCACCTCGGGTTCCTCACAAGCATGCTTTGAGGGGATGCACCAGGTGCGACAGCAGGTGCTGGGTTAGAGGTATTCCTCCGCAGGATGGAATGCCGCATCTTAGACAGCACTCGTTTCCCATGAGTTTTGCGAGGGCCTGTATCAAATGAAGCATGTGTGTTTCTCTGATTGATTATGTAACCTGCAGCCAGAACTGCACTAGTTGCTGGGGAGCATGGGTGCAGCCGCAGTTGCCCTCCTGTCCCCCTTGGGCTTCTTGTGGCTGCTGTGTGAACAGGGCTGTTCTGCTGTTAGTTTGGGTCAGCTTGGTCTTGGTGGGTTTCAGGATTTAAAGTTGACTGGTGCAGCAGATCAGCCCTCGAATGCCGCCCTGGTTTTTGCATGCCGGAGCTGGTTTTGCAGGCCACCTTCTTTGGAACCTTGGACAGAAGGGCGTTTGTCCCCAGGTGCTCCGCTCGATTCTGAGTTAAAGCTTTGGATGCCATGTCTCTCCCCACATTTTCAGTACCTGATGGTGAAGTTCTTGTGCACAAGGCAAGAGAAAGCAGAACGTCTTGGAGTGCAAGGCATGGGTGTCTTTGGGTACCTTCGGCCTGTGTCAGCAGAGCCGGACGGAAGCGAGAGCTGTAAGTCGTGTGACAGACCGAGTGGCGATACTGTGTGTGGAATGACTCTTCTCCTGAAAACCCTGTCCTTCGTCCAGCAGCTTGCACAAGACCTGGTATGTTCCCCCCACCTGCCCTCCCTCTTCTCTCCAGACTCTGGGCCACTTCTGGCAGGCAGAAATAGTTCACAGTATGCTTTGAAAAGATGCTAGTAAAGGTGATGTGGCAGAGAAAGGCACTGCGATGAACTGTAAACAGTTGGACCATCCCTTCCATGCGGCTTGGTCCAGGGCAGGCAGAGATACTGCGTGCAGGGTTTCACTCCCCCGGATGATGCCGTGTGGCAGTTTAGGGCCACCTCTAGTTCCAGCGAGAGACTCGGGTGGGACCCGCATCCTCCTGCAGGGCTGTGAGACCTTTCAGGAGAAGGATGTATCTGGCAGGGTGCTGCTTACAAGCAGGGAGCAATGGAGGTGTTTCTTCCTCATTTTGGAGCTCTGTATTCTGCATTTCTTCCTAGGTTCAGAAGAAAAGAAAAGGTGTACGATACAAGTCTTACCTGGACTTCATGGGCCTAGATTTAAAGCTTTTCTGGAATTTCTATAACAAACTCCAACAGAAGTAGGTAGCCTTCCGTGACACCAAACTAGCGCAAAGTAAGGCACGCTCTGCTGATTGCTGCGTGTCCCGGGAGCTTGTGGCCTGTGCCAGCAAGTTCAGTCATGACTGGAGGCCTTGCATTGCCAGACTCACATTGTCACAGGTCCTGGCAGCTCAGCGCAGTGTCCAGATCCAGGCATCCAGGGAAGGAGTTGCAGGACTCAGCACGAGCGTGCTTCTCGACGTGGGGAAGGGAAGCGGTCCTTAATCCATAGCATACCCTGTGTTGCTGTTTAAACTTAAGGAGCCAAATCATGGGCATTGTGTACCTGGATACACATTTAGTGCAGCTGGGAAATCCTCAGGATGGCTTCCTCTGTGGCATGGCGTGTGCACTGCCAGGAGCACCTGGGCGCATTTATCTCCCGTAGCAGGTTGTGGTGAAGCCGTCCACTGAACAGTGCAGAGTTCTTTGCCTCTCTTTTTTAAAAAGGGAAAGTATATTCCCCCCCCCCCCAACAGTACCCTTGGGATGGCAGTGCAGGACCCTGAAGGCCAAGTGACAGATGGCATAACAGGACGGCCTTGGTCACGGCAATTTTCTGTCTCCCCCCCTCCTGCCCCCGCACACACAGTCCTCGAGAAGAGAGCATCGATGCCCAGACCGTGCTACTCCGGCTTCTCCAGAGCTGTTTCTCAGGGCTTGGTTCGGGTAACAAAGAAGCCACGCTGTCTCAGGGAGCGGCCAAGAAGCAAACACCTGACAACACGGAAGTGGCTGAGGAACTCTACCAGCACCTGTGTGAAGGTGAGATCTCTCCCCGGCCTTTGGTCTTCGGCTTGTCCTTTGAATCGGGGAAGGGGGTGGGCCTGTTCCAGGTGCCTCATGCCAGCAGGCCCGGGGAGGATCCCTCTCTCGCGCTGCCCCCACCAAGGCTGGCTGCCTCAGGCAGGGCGACTTTCGCAGCTCTGGAGGCACAGGTTCAGAAGCTTGGGAGCCCTGGAAGGGGAGCAGCTTGTCAAGGGATGCAGGGTGTCCTCACACAAGCATCAGCCTCTCCTTGCCCTTTGTCTTTCCAATGGACAGTTGTGGACAGCGACAGCGAGGCCTCCCCCCTGCAGATCTTGAAGCAGGAAGTCACGAACACGTTGCTCAACGGAGCAGCCATCTTCTTCCCCCACAGACATACCCGGCGGGAAAAGCTTTTTGCAATGCTGGTATGTGGCAGGCGTGGAAATTATCTTCAAGGCCCTATGTTTCTTTTGCTTTTCTTTCCACAGAAATCGGGGTTAGGATCTCAAACAGCCTTCCCCAGCCTGGTGGCCCTCGGAGGCATTTGGACCACAACTCCCAGAATTCCCATCCAACTGGGCCATTGACTGGAAATTCTGGATGTTGCAGTCCAAATGTCTCTGGGAGGCACAGGGTTGGGGAAGGCTGATGTAAAAGGTGGAACGGGCCAAATTTGGAACTGGTTTTTCTTTTACTTTATAGGTTTCAGGGCCAGGCCTCATCTGGTCTGTTCTCTGCCTATTTCTCTTGATAATGTAATAGTTGTATATCACTCCATTTGCTGCGTTTTTATTCTGTCCCCACTCCCAGCAGCTCACCCAACAATCCTGTGAGAGCTCTAGCCAAGCTCCCTGCAGACGCTTTGGTCTGGAATTCCCATGACCTGGGTGATTGGTCATGCTAGCTGAGGCTAACGAGAGTTGTAGTCCAAGCCGTCCTCAGATTGTTGGGCAGGCTGAGATTAGGCCTGGCACGGACACAGGGCGGTCACTCGGTGGCCTTCGTGGCCACGCAGGGCTGAACATGCGTCTTCCCAGCTCGTGTCCCGCACTCTTCATGGCTTGATGCCTGCTCCTGCCCACAAGCAGGACAAACGCGACAGCGCCTTCCCACTCAAGTCGCCGGGTGGGCGAGGGCCGTTGCCCTCCGGTCCTGCTCGCAGGCTTCACCTGGGGCAGCTGGCTGGCTGGATGGACCCCGGGCTGGATCCTGCAGGCCCTTTCTCATATTATTTTCTCCACTGATACAGATTGGGGGTATCCAGGGCCCAGTCCGTGGCAACAGCGTAAAGAGAAAAAACAACCAACATTTTCTCTTTAAAACAAGGTACACTGTGAACGGCACACATGCACTTTGATTTAAACAGAAAATGGGGGGGCACAGCAGCAGTGATTTGGGGTCCACAGAAAGGACAGAGAGCCTGCATTGCCCAAACGTGCCATCGGCCTCCCATTCTCCAAATGAGCCGTTGTGAGAAAAGCGAGGATTAAAAGACAAAACGAACCCCTTCTCTTCTTTCCAGAAGAACATCACTGAGCGGGAGCACAAGCCCTCTGTGCAGCTTACCTTCAGGTCCCTCTGCACATATTTCAGGTAAGCAACCTTACCTGGAACGCAGTGGATGCCATTGTTCCAGCCACCTTCCCCCTCCTTTACCTTGTAAATCTCTCCTCTTAATAGTGCAGGGCGCAGGTGGGTGAAACGGCCCACTTGGTTCAAGAAAATGAAACAGGCTTTCTGGGGAAGATGCTTTGCCACCCTGCATTTGGAAGCTGGGCCGCTAGAGTCGGTGTGCTGAGGCTGGCCGTGTGGAATGTCTGAACACCTGTGTTCCTAATCGCTCGGTAAAACATGCTTTCTTTCGCAGCGATCAGGATCCAGGTGGGCTCCTCTTGTTGCCGGAAAAGGGAAACCCTGCAGAGGTGGATGTGGACCAAGTGTTAGCCGTGATGGAGACCCTTCTCATGGTGACATCAAGAGAGGTGGCCACTCGTACTTGGCGGGGGGGTGCTTCTTAATGCAGAACTGACAGATTTTATTGGCTGACTCTGTTAACGGGGGAGGCGGCTGTGGAAAGCATTTCCTGGCCTGGGGTTAAGGGTCCCAGGTTCCCCAGGACTGACCCAGCTGCTCAAGTTCGGCTCCGTGTCTCCCCTTTCCAATCCCACTGAACTGCTTTCTTCTCATCTCTTCCCAGTGTGAAAAGTTGATGCTGGGTGTTGCCCAGCACGATTCCGGGCCTGTGCTCTCGTCGCTGTTCTGGTCTGTCCAGGGCAGCCTCCTTTCTTGGTGCTACTTGCAGCTTAAAGGGAGCGATGCAGCATCTAAGAACCTGGCCGCGGCAATCCTTACGAAATGTAAGTCCCTCGCCCCGGAGAATTGACTGTGCTGCATCCGTCTCGAGGGGTCTGGTCCAGTTAAGACTTAAGAATACTTGGGAGGAAACAAAGGCATTTGTGCCCAAGATGAAATGCAGGGATGAAATAAGTATGCAGAGTCTGAACAGGCAAGAGGAGACGCACGGCCCCCTTCTCTGTGGCCTAAGTGGTTCCCTGAATAAGCCAGGAGAGGCTCCGAGGGTTGCCTGGGCGGGCAAAAGAATCCAAGACTGCCGTGCCTCTCGCAAGTTTCAGTTGCTCTTGCTTCAGCCTTGCACACGGGTGCTGACCTCCCTCCGTGAGGTAAGGCCAGGGTGAAGCCACGGCGGTGTGTCAGACAGCTTCGTTCTCTCAGCAGAAGCAGCTCTCATCTGCTGCCTGGCTTGGGAGGGCCGCTCCCAAGCAACTATCTCCGGTGCTCTTCCAAAGGAGCTGAAGGCCGAAGAGGCTTTGCCGTGGCTCCAGCAGCTCATGCTGGCATTTGGGCACAGGGAAAGTTCACTGGCCACCCTGTTGAACCTGACCAGCATCCTCACCTGTCCCTCAGGGTTAGCCCCTCCCGCTTATCTGCACCTCCCGCAGCCTACCAGGACCTGTGGCATTTAGTTGGCTGCATTTTGCTCTTCTCTATGTAGACGTGAAGCAGTTCCTCTTGAGCGTTCGGACAATTTTAGGGTCACTCCTGTCCCAACACAGTGGGAAAACCATCATGGAGAAACTGAGCCACTCTGTCTTCGCCATGGTCACCCGGCAACTGGTAAGCAAGCTTAACGCCATTCCAGCAGCAGATGCCACCCCCCTTTTTTCCCCTTCCCTTTTCATTATTGCGATCGGATGTATTTCTGTATCCCAGATGACCTTCCTGCAAGACTTCTACACCTTGGATATTCCGCACCGTGCCCTCCTGCACGATATCGGCATGCTGACAACATTGCTGAACGATCTGTCTGCGGAGCCTGGCGACAGTCCGGAAAAGGTAGCCTTGGAGAAGGCACAGGCTGCTGCTGCTGCTTCCCCCGACAGGGGAGCTTAGAGCAGAATCCTAGCATTGTGGCCTGGCTCCAGCCCACTGCTCACCGCGTGGTCGCGATGCCACCGTTTCTGCTTCTTTGCACATGATCTCTCCCCACTGCCACATTCCAGACTCACTGGGCTTCTCCGACCGCCGGGACAAGGAGCTCAGGCGACTAGGTAGTCTAGAAATACCACGGCCTTTTCAGAACTATCCAGACAGGCCTTTGATGTGCACATTCCCTTTGCTGTGCTGCTGTTCTTTGACCGCTGCTCTCTCGTACTGAATGAACTTAGATTTTTAAACCCCTTTGTGTACCACATTTCTGTTTGCTGCTTTGAGTGCAGTTTTGATGTAGAAGAGGGAATGAAAGGAAGTTTAAACCAAGTCCCTGCCTCTGCTGAGTCTTGCAAATGAGGAACGTTCTAGTTGAAGTAATGGAAGAGCTGGAGGAGGAACTGAGAAATCAAGGCCCGGCCTGTGGAACTGCCCTGTTCGGAGCACATGGGCCGGCTGGCTCACAGCTGCCATAAAAAGGGGCTGAGACCTAATGCCACACTCCAGACTGCTTTGCCAGTGTCTGCCAGCCCTCCAGTCGCTCGGGACTCCCTGAGCTGTGGCCCAGGGAGATGGCCCATCTCTGTTCTTCTTATTTTTTCACCGCTTTTCGTTTGTATCAGGTGAGCATCCAAAGCCAGCCGCAGGAGCAGCCCGTGGTGCTTCGAACATGGACTGTGGAATCTCCCCACAATTACGACAACAACTGCCACGACGTCACGGTTTTCCTCTGCCCAGGGGCAACTTCCTTCGAAGTGGAGTTTGACGACAGATGTGAAACGGAGCGGAGGTAAGCCGCGGTGGTCCCTCTCGGGTGGTGGGGCAGCAGCTGCTCCGTGCACGTCTCCCCTTGGGGCTTTGTGAGAGGGCCTTGTGACAAAGGCCCACCAAACCCCCCCCGGTCCGTGGGCTCCGTCGGAGACTCTGCAGTTAGGACTGTCTCTGGATGCAAATGTTTAGTGAGCAAGGCTGCCCACTCACAGCACGGGTGCTCTCCAAGCAGCGCGCCAGAGGACTGGGGAATCACTCGCACCACAGCAGCATTTTCTCCGCCTCCATTCACGGCACGGACCGGCGCGTCCCCTTCCCCAGCTCCCCTTTGCAAGTGCAGCGGGAGGAGAAGCCGTGCCCACAGCTCTGAAGTGCTTCTGTGGTGTTGCTCCCCGGTGCTTTGGTTCCTCCCGCCCTCTGCGATCAAGTCCACTGAAGCCTTTTTGGAGCGTGGCCCGTCTGGATGCGCCTAGTGCTGGGAGGGTGCAGGCGACACTGTGGAGGGTCTCCTGGGAACTTGGCTGCCAGGGCCATGATCCTTCGCAGTCATACTGGCTGTATTGCGGATGGCGTTTCAAGTGAGGGCGGGCGTGTGTGGTTCAAATGAGACACACCCTCTGTTGTCCCTTGTTCTCTTCTGGACTGGAAGGAACTGCACAGCTCTCCATGCACCCCCAATGCAGCCTTCCGCTCACGCCTTCTCCCCCACCTTCGCTTCCTTGCTCTGAAACGGGCAGCCTGGCTGGTCCAACTTCTCGTTCCTCCATGCTGTGGCTTCCCTTTCCTCTGCACTCCCCACCCCACCCCACCCGTCCCCTCCATTCTCCTCCTCACAGGGGCTTTGGGTGGCACCCCCTCACACCTGCCTCTGAGAGCGTTCGTGAAGAATTCAGCTGCCTGCCCCACTTGCCAGCTTAGCCAGTAGTGCCAGGATTCACACGATCGGGGAAGGCAACTGAGCCCCCAGGACTTACTTGGCTTCTAGGGTTGTGTGAGGGTTTGTTAACCATCTGTTCGCCCTCCTTTGCTTGGTTCAGATTGTACAACAAGCTGCCACCAGCGAGGGTTCCATCCAGCAGGGGGCAGAGTTGAGCCCAGTGCAAGTTCAAGCTGTAATGCTGTCAAAACACATCTTTGTAGGTACGATTACCTGGAATTTACTGATGCCAAAGGTGCCAAAACTCGCTACGATACCAAAGTCGGCACAGACAAGTGGCCCAAGGTGAGTGAAGGCTGATTACTAAACAAAGCAAACTTCTGTGGGGCCTCAGAAGCTTCCCTGTGGCTGGTGCAGAACGAGGCTTTGATGTCCCCGTGGCTGCAGTGGAGGACCTTTCAGAACCACCTCGGAGCATGCCAGGGAGCTTTGCCTCCCAAAGCATCCACAGTGAATTGTGCTTCGCAAGGTGTGACTAAACGCCCGCGAGAGCTTTCTCCTGCGAGGATGTAGGCGATCGCTTGAAGGGGATTGAGCCTCTTCATGGGAAGCAAACCGTGTCTGACTGGTGCAGCTTCAGAAGTTGGATGGTGAGCTGATGCCCTTGTTAACCGAGGGAATGCAACTTCTTTGAGCTGAAAGCCTAAATAATTTCTCCAGGTTTCTGGACCTCATGGTCACAGCATGGCGTTTCAGTGAACAGCCACAGTTTGTTTACTGGTCCTTGTGGCCTCGCCTGCTTCCAAGCATCTTGCAGAACTTTTGGTCTGACAAGCATCTCATTTCCACCATCTTGCAGTTTGGAAGCTTCACGTTAAGCCGTCCGTTGTGGCGTAGCTTTTGTGCAACACAAGTGCAACTGTTAGGGTCCAGCTGGGGGAAAGACGCCTTGTGTGGCAGCTGGAAGTCCCGCCAAGGGCTGTTGGCTTGACATTCCGAGCCCAGAAATCATCTTTAGTTTCTCTTCCTGTCCTGCTCACCGTGGCAAAATCAAAACTGTCGTGTTGCTCTCTAGAAAGTGACTTTTATGGCTGGCCCTCGGCTGCAGTTCGTCTTCCGCTCCGACAGCAGCAACAACGAGTGGGGTTACAAATTCTCCGTCACCGCATATGGCTTGCCGGATGTGGACCTTTCCTGGGGCCTGGACTTGCACCTGCTTGTGGCCAGGCTGATGGGGCGCTTGGCTTCCCAGAGCATGGTGCTGAAATCCCTGCGTGGTGAGTCTGGGGGGGGGGGGGTTCTCTCCCATTGTTTTCACGTCATTGTTTTCACAGTCCTCCTGTGCCCGGGGTGGGTGAGCTGTGAGGGAACAAAGCACCTTCTTGGCTGATAGGTTTTGTCGTAAGAATGGTGCTGGCGGAAAGCCAGTTCCAGATTCTGGAAGCGGCTGCTCAGACAGTTAGACGTCTCAGAGCTGACCTCATCTGTGCTCAGCCTTTGTTTTGCTTCCTGCTCCAAAATCAAACATGGTTGGAAGTGCATGTTTGTTGTGGGGAGGGTTCCATGGGGACCCTTGTAGTGCTAAGAGAAAGCATGATTGGCTTGAAAGTGGGGCAGCACAGGGGTGCCTGGGCCCCAGTCTCCCCCAGCTGCTGGGTCTGCTCTAGCCAGGTCACTGTCCTGGGAAGTCTGGTCTTTCTCAACCTGCCCCCCTCCAGATGTCTTGGACTAGAGCTTCCAGCTTTTCCAGAGGGGAGCAGGTTGTGGAAAATTGGAATAGCATCTGGGACTTAGATGGCGAAATCCCAGATTTAAAGACACATTTGGCTGTAATTCTCACTAGGCAGTGACTTTCTTTAGCCTAGTTAGCTTTTTTGTTCATGCTGCTGGATAAATTTATTTTCTCACCCAATCAAGAAATCAGAAATAGCTTCTAAAAGCAAAAGTGTAAAATCCGTACCAGCAAAAAGCACGGATGTTGCTGCAGTTTGTCACAGTGGGTCTTGATCCTCAGAAGGAGGAGCTATTCAGGGATGCCCTCCTGTCCTCCATCTTACAGATCCACATGGCCTGGCAGAGGCTGGCTGGCTTCTGTGCTTAATTTCTGATTTTACTGGTTTTTTTGTTTCCTCTCCTGTAATCTTAAAAGACCTTTCATAGTGCAGAACCTTTGCTATTCTAACTCCAACTCCTTTTGTTGCTGTTTTCCCCAGAGGGGGGCCATGAGGTAGAACTGCCTCCCGCAAAAGTGACGGCTGTTCTTAACTCTCCTCTCTGGAAACCGGTCTTCAGGCAGCAAATGTGTTCTGTCCAACAGCCGAGACCTCACAAGCTAAGCCAAACACAACAGGAAAATAAAGAGGTATTTAAGATCACTCCCTAAATCTCGTTGCAAGAAGCACCTGAGCCAGCTCAGGGGGGGTTCCCACCCCCGGCTGGTATCATGCAGTCACCCAGTTGTCTGGCCTGAACCCAGCACTGTGGCCAGAGATGAGCAGTGTGTGCATCAGACCAGAGCAGGAGGAAGAAAGGGGCTTTCTCTGGGTTTCTGTACCACTGCAAGGGTTTATTGCTGACACCCGAGTTTATTTATTCATTTAGTATCTGTACTGCCCAGTAGCCAGAGCTCTCTGAGTAGACCAGCATTTAGGTCCACCTTATCCTCCCTCCTTCCCTTCCTTCAGTTGTGCTGGACTGCAAGTCTCATGTGCCACAGACAGCATGTAATGGAACTGTTGCAGTTCCTGGAAACAGGGAATGGCTTCCTACGTGGGTTCTTCCCCCAGCAAGAAGGACCGTGCAAATAGGGCTGGGCGGCCCATCCTAGCGTGGCCAAGGACTTTGCAATGTCCCAGTTCCAAAGACAGGTTGCTGGCGGCCTTTTCAGGAGCTTTTCACCAGCAGCAACCAACTGTAACAGTTCCGGGGTTCTCGCAAGCACCAGGAGAAACATGCTCGGCATTCTGTCATTCAGCCTGGTCTTTTGCCTGTGTCGCTGCTTAGATTCAAAGGCACAGCTAACACCTCTGGCTAAAACGGCCTGCTCACCACCCCGGTTGCCATGTTCAGCCCAGGTTTAGCACTACATCTGGGTGCGGCCTTTTTGGTTTTTCCTTAGTTTCTAAGGAATTACTTAATTTCACTGCCCCCCTCTGGCGCCGATGCGCACACCAGGTCTCTGTAGCGTTTGCAGTGCCGCCAAAATAAATGAGCCGGAGCCGTGGGGTGCTGTTAGGGACTAAATCTCTTCTGATGTTCTTTCCAGGCCATCAGCTCTGATGCCGACGACTGTCACACATTCCTCCTTAACTTCTCAAAGTCAGACCCTGCCCAGGAGCCCTGTGGGCCAAATTCTGACCTGTTCAAAGGACTCATACAGGCATGTAAAAAGCAGGCTCCAAAGACTGACCTAGTTGCTGGTTCCACTGTTGATCAAGCTGTCCGCTCTGCATTTGCTGCTTTGGTGTATCTCTCTCCAGATTTGTATGGGAAGCTGCAGAATTATGGTAACTCCTACATTAGTGAATATCTATTCATAGCGAAGACTACCTACTGCTCATATGATAGCTAATTTGGCCATAAAGTGTGACTTGCCCATCAAGTGATTTAGAAGAAACAGACATCGCTTTCCAAATGGGGAGCACTGCAGCCCCGGGCTTGACTGCCATGGAGCATCGGAGAGCATCAGAGGCTGATGTTCCCCGGAGAACTTGGCACGGGAAAGCTGTCTTGCTGAAAGTGTTCTTTCCAAATAATCTCACAAGATTATGCGTCCAGGAAAATGCTGGGCTCAAAAATACTGATCCAGGGCATTGCCGTTGGTGCTGTCCCTGCTTTGGGTGCATTCACGAGATGATTTTGCCCCTGATGCACATCAGAACGTGGTAGGAATGGTGTAACTTACTGTGGTTGGCCTTGACAAGTTTCTGCAGTGGTAAGGCTTCTGGTATTTCCTGCCGTGCCCATAATGAAAGTGAAAGGAGCTGGAAGAGAAAAGTGCAAAAAGCATTTTATGGGCCTTTGAAGTACTTTCAGAAATGGCAGGTGACTTTCAGCTTACTCCTTCAAGAATAGGAGTATTCTGATGGGTCATTTTACACCTGCCATATCCCTACGAGTACAGACATCCTTTTTTTAAGTATTTTTGCAGCTGCTGGCCATCTGGCTGGGGAGGGAAGGAATGGCACTGTGCATCTTGTGGCTTTTCTGATCGGTGGTGTTTTTGTGAGAATTTATCAGAGCCTGGCTCAACCGCACCCTCATTAAGCAACTGGATCAGGGTCCAGCAGCTTCCAGCAGGCCAAGCGGCAGCTCCCACTTCAGAGAAGTGCTTGGGCGCATTCCAGCATTGAATGGGGCAAAAATGCCCCAAGCACCACC